CTCTCTCTCTCTCTCTCTCTCTCCCTCTCTCTTTATTATGTAAAATTCATTTCAACTCCATTAAAAATTAATTAATGAACGTGTATCTATATTTACATGTAATTCATTGCTTTATGCTAATTCCTCGTAATATTACGAATTATTTAATTACCTCAAGAAATTCAAAATGTGCGACAAAAAATTCTAGAACTGAAAAAAAATATTTTTTTAACTAGCAAGTTAAAAAAATCCTGTTTCCCTGTACATAGAAAATTCGTCAGAAAAATGTGAGAATCTCGTTTTATAAAAAAAAAAAAAAAAATTCGTTTTGCAAAAATATTCGTTTAAAAAAAATCTCGTTTTATAAAAAAAAATAAAAAAAGTAAAGTCGACTATCTTCTATATCTAGGGCAATAAGTTTTCCATATTTTTGTATTTTTTATATTTCTGTTAACTTTTCTTTTTCTCTCTCTTCCTCTCTTTCCCTCTCGTTCTTTAAATCTCGACCGAATTCAACATGTGTACAGCCTGCAATAACTGAGTAACTACGAGTCCGCACGGTTGTACGTCGCAAATGAAGAAAAGCTACAACACATCGGCGCGATAGCGAGCGAACGGGCGAGCGAATCAAAGGCAAAGAAATTTATATTGTGACGGAAATCACGCGGTAAAGAGTTAACAACGAATTACGAGCTGGAACGGAAGCCCGGTATCACCCCGTGAATTATCTGTCGCTTGGCCGAGGACATAAATTGCGATTTGCAGCTGACACTTGGTACCGTTCAATACTCAGTCCAGCGCTTATATATTCTTTTTTTTTTACAACTCCGATATTTCCGCTGGTTTGACGAAATGGGCCAGCCATTTTGCGCGTTCGACTTTAAAAGAGACAAAACAGCAAAAAAAGAAGAAAAAAGAGACGAAAGAAAGGGAAAGGGCAAGGTAGACGAAGGAATAAAATCCGAGAGAAGACTGTCTCATTGCGACGTGAAATCGTTCACGGATGATTTCCGTCGATGAAATATTCATAATTTAATATGTCTTTGCTCTCTTCAGTCTACCCCTCTCTCTCTTTCTCTCTCTTTAAGCGGAATAGTCGCGAAATGAAATATTCATCGTCGGGATGACGATGATGTCGATCCGAGAAAATGCGCCACGCGTCATCGATTTCCTCGTGGCTGACTCGGACGGAATTCTCAACGATATTTCCACACGCAGTGGATTGCGAAACGCGATTTCTCTTTGAACCGCCGATTATCTTACTTAATTTTCAAAGCAACGTATTGCCTGCATCCGAAATGATCCGGTAGATACGATTATTCCGTTACACACTATTCTCCCGATATACGATTCTCCTATTTGCATGTTTTATTTAAATTTTCCAGCTTTTTCTATCCAGCTAAAATGGTGTTTAGAATGAATACGCAAGATGCTTTCCATCGTCCATTAAGACTCGATATTCGCCATTTGAAACTTCCAACAAGGTACCCCGCTACGCAATGTTTCTATTTACATTTTGTGCAATTTTCGATTTTCCGATTCGTCTCGCGGAAATACGTATTTCCGGACTCGTTAAATTCGCAATGCCGCCGTTACTTCGCAAATATCCGGCCATCGACGGGACTCTTTCGCCGATACGAGATATTTCAAGCGTAAACTTCACGTATGATTCGTTCGCGTTTCATGAGGCTTCTAAATTCGCCACGTATTTTCCGCGCGTTCTCCCCGGCGAAAGACGGAAATTTCGGCATTTCGCTCTCGCGCAACTCCCGTGGAAATAATTCCAAGGATCCCACACAAGGTCGTAAACACAAGGTCATAAAACATCGCGAGGCACGAGTCTCTAATAACAATCGTCGCGGTAACTCGCACACATAATGATTCAAGAAAAAAACCGCAATATTTGCGGAACACAAATTTACAGTGAGAAATGAGCGTTCCTATAGGTTTGTGTACAGTGTATACCGCGAGAAAAGAGAAATGCTGCGTTATTTGTTTATTTAACGTAACTAGTATGTCTAGAATAATTTTTCTGAATTATTTTCCACATATCCTTCCATCTTTCTTATTAAATCTTTATTGACTATAATTTTCATTTAACGCCTATAAATTATGTGAAATAACAAAGATATTTTTAATACTGACATTTAAGCAAGACTTCTAATTATATCAAAATCGATGGTGCATTGATATTTTAGACAACTGCTTAACAACTTATTTTAAAAACGCATAATTTAATATCGCTATTATATATACATGTATGCACATATACATACATGCATATGTATATATGTATATATAACTTCTACCACCCTGCATAATTTATGAATTTTCACTAGAAAATGATAAGTCAGGCAATTAATAATAACGTAAGTATAGTAATATAAAAACAAATAAAATATAAAAACAAATAAATATAATAGGTATAGTAAAATGAATATAGTAAAAGTATATTTATCTCATGTGTATGTACAAGTGTAAGATTGTTCGGGACGACGCGCTCTCTGCACAAACCGTTTTATTTAATTTACCACGTCCTGAAAATATTACGGTTCTCTTTCGAACTATCTCACAGACCAAGAATTCATGGCGAAAACAATGGAGGAACAGCACTCGTAACTCTTTAAAGCAGCAATCGCAACTCCTCAAATTATTCGATTTCGAATAATTTGTTTACTATACCCATTACAACAATAAATCGCCGTCGTTCTCCATGATCTCGAGAGATCCGCGTTTAAATGTTCAACACGGATCCCTCAGAGAGTCTGATTTTTCTAACTCGGCAGGACTCACCTGAGATCCTGCAAGGATCAACGGATCCAGACCAGGGGAGGAGAATCGAACTGCCGGACGAACGACGAAGGCACTCCTCGGGAGAAGCCTCTCGGCAGGTGCTCGCGGTGCGAACGATCGGGGAAGACGGGGAGCACCTCGCGAACGATCAGACGATGCGAAGACGATACACTCAAATCGGCGCGCGCGAGACTACTGAGCGGCGATGCCGAGGGCTGCCGAGCGAACGGCCGCTCGGCGCAGGTCGGCCGCCGTGCCGGTGAGCCGAGGGCGCACGATCCAATCGCTCGCGGGAGTCACCTCGATGTGTTTGCGCGCGAGTACGTGTGTGTTGTGTTAATGCGTTTAATTTATTAAATACCGCATAAGTAACTTGTACATCCTAATTAACTCGTACAGTTGCTTACTTATAATTACTGGCAAAAATACAGCGGAGATAGCAACGTATGAAAATGTCCACGAGGTATAAAACACCATGAGAATTATTCTAGATGCACTATTCACTTTAATTTATCCCATTACTCGTCAGTTCTGTCACTCTCTGGAATGTCTTAATAAGTTTGGAAATTAGATACTGAAAGGTCTTCAATTTCCCAACTCACCAAGATTTCGCAGACGAAGAGGAGGAGAAATTATTTGTTGTTGCTACTGAAATTATTCGCTCGCGTAAGGAAGGTGCCCCGCAAATGGGAAGTTTTGAAATAGTAAGATACTGTAATTAGACTAAGATATTATAGTCTGACGTCCAAATTGTGTACATGTGCATGTATATGTAGAATAATTATTCGTAATTAACCTTTTATCGTAATGAATGCTTTAATCTTTAATCAATCTTTGAATTCCTAATTAAAGACACTTTGATCAAAGAATTTGGGATTCGATATATGCTAGAAACAATTTCAAATAATGATAATTAACAATAATCTACGCAGCCAAGAAGTTTCCGTTTCTTTGATAAACAGAGTAATTTCTCATCATTTTTGTTATGAATCCGTTATCGTGAGCGCGTCAGCGCGATGTCAACGAAAGAAATTGTTTACCAACTGGCAGTATGTATGTGTGTTGTGTGTGATCGTCTATCTCTCTCTTTTTCTTTCTTTCTCTCTCTCTCTCTCTCTCTCTCTCTCTTTCTCTACCTCTTTTTCTTCTGACTCCGTGTACTTTTCACCCGTGTAAAATATAATTTCCTTTATATGTAAAAAATGTATTATATAATTTATATGTTTGTCAAAGGTTATAATATATATTATATGTATTTGAATATATCTGTACTAAAAATCTCATCTCCCGACTGTTGGATGTTCAAGAGTTTATCGCACGATTTATAGCCGACATTAACAACAACAAATTGCTCCATAAAGTTTTAATCGAAAACGCAGCACCATTTAATTGAACTTTTCCTCTACGGCCTCCTCAGCCCAAGCGGCGGAATGAGGCAAATTCAATTAAAAGAGCGCGCCTATGCTAATGCAAAGCTGAAATCACGCGGTTTTATAAACGCAGCTGCTTAGTTCTATCGTGAGAGAGAACAATGATAATACAATCGCGCAAACACATATAGACAGATACATATCGTCGTATCAGCGCGAGTTAATTGCACAGGACGAAGCATTACTAAATTCACAGATTAAACCATGCCTCTAATCATTAATCGATTACACACAGCGTCAAATCGGATAAACGGATAGCGTACAACACTATGCCACCGGTGAAACCATGCCATCGTATAGAGCACGATGAAAGTACTCGATGTCGATGGTGCAGCTCGTCCGCCGCTAAATCGTATCCTCGCGAACGACACGAAAGTGTCTCCCGGCGAGTTTTCTCGTCGAGAGCGCATCTTCGATGTAGCCGCGAGTTTATGGGGTCAGCGACGAAAGGAGGACTTACGGTGGAATGTGGTAAAGGCCGGAATGAAGGTCGGAGACTACTATTACCGGGGGAACTCTACCAACGCAGATCGGTCGGTCGGTCGGCTGGTTGGTCGGCCGATCTCCCGTTGGCCGTGTTTCCGATAATGGACTCGAAAATACGCAGCAGATCGAGAATTCCCGCGCCAATTTCCCCGTTCTCGGCTGGCTCGCTCGCTCGCTCGCTCGCTCGCTTAACGGCGCTAATTAATTTTACAGACCGCTCGTTGCGACTAATCGAAGCCGCTCGCCAAATTCTCCCATAAACAAGCCGACCAGAAGGGCCGCGCGCGGTGACGGTGTTGAACGGTGTTTCATTATTTTTGCGCGGTTACTTTAGTTAGATAGATCAATAATAAATAAAGCGTTGCCGCCTCTTCGCCCTCGCGATCGTTCTCTATTATTCAGTAGCGACGATCGATGATCATCTAAGAATCATAATAGCCGAGTACACTCCGATAAGCGTCAATTTGATCAATATTGAGATAGGATTTGAACAATCACTTTCGTCAATTCTAAAGTAGGATTAAACAGTATTCAGTAACTCATATTCTAGGTTATTCACGACGAATTTCGAGAATTTTTCGACGCGGCCGACGAGAATTCCTTGAAACTTTAATTGCGAAAAATTGAATTTAATTACGAATCGCGCGAATACACGAAGAGAAGAAAATAAAAAAAAAATGTTGGTATGCCATTTATCCGCTTCGTCATAGCAATCATCGTTCAATTTCCTGTTTTCTGTTCGTTCGCCGTTGGCGATTTTCGGATTTTTTGGAAGCGCGCAATGAAAAATAGCTATTAAATTGGCACACGTCTCGAATTATATCGAAATATTATCGACGCCTCGGGCGCACAACGGTTTTTGTGTTTGACGAACAAAAATTTGAAATCTCGTAAAATTCTTATTTTCACGAACGATTCTCTAAAACCTTCCGAAATTTGAGACAATCGTCAAAGTACAAGCGATATCTCGTCTCGCCTTTCCTGTGATTTTCTAAAAGATTGTTCGATATCATATATTCACCAAATTATCACGATATTAGTAGTCTTGCGAGATATTGTCAAAGTTATTTACTCTTATTGTAAGAGAAAGAGGGAGAGAAAGAGAAAGGCACGCTTTGCGTGTAACGCGAGCCTAGGCGAGAAATATTCTCAGTGTCCACAGCGTGAAATCGAGCCCGTCACTTTTGCGCTGAGCTGTACTATTAAATATGAATCAAGAGTCTATTTTAGCGAATTGAGAATAATTTCCCTCTAGACCGGTCACTTGTCACGGCGAGCGCAACGCGGAAATTTCCGCGTTGTTTACGGAAATTCAGGCACGTTCTCCGGCGGCGAGTCGTAATTCAGGATTCCCTCCTTGCATTATTTATGCTTGCATGCAAATACGTGCGCTCGTGCCCGCTCGAACGCCCGCGCTCGCGTTATGAATGACCCGCGCGATACGTGCTAAGTAGCGCTGAGCGCGGAAAATAATCCGCTTCTGGAAATCGCATTTACGGAGAATTAATTATCAATGGAGAATAGAAATCCGGAGAGAACATTTCACTCGCTACTCGCCTCACCGGCATCGAAGGAATATGCCTTGCGAATCTTAGGATTAGCATCGCGTGCTGCAACAGTATGCCTAAATTGAGTCGACATTTCGGCAACACCGGCGCGTATCGTAACAGATACGTCCCTAGAAAATGCCGAGAGGAGAAGGAAAACTTCGGAAATCCGCCTCGGTTGCCTTCGCAACGTTCTCCTCGTCGTCGGGACGTCGCGACGCGTGTGTGAGCGTGGATGCGTCTCCAAAAAAGTAAATAAGCCGTGAAATATTGCACGCTCGCGACGAAGCGGAAGGGCGAGGGTGGCCCTATTATCCATCACGGAGACTGTCACAGCCCCACGCGGGATAAAGTCGGCGAGACGTATCTCGCCGAGACGTTAGCCCTCGATACGTCGAAGGGCACGACGACGTTCGATTACGTCCCCTCGGTGCCGAGTAAAAAGGATCCGACGCGATTCGGCACATAAGCGCTCTTTCTCTCTCTGTCCCTCTCTATCTTTCTTTTGTCCTCTCTTCCTGCGTTTCGGGAATTTCGGGGAAGGAGACACGAATATTTTGTCAAAGGACGATACGTCTGAGTGTCCCATAATAGCTATATGTTAGCCGAACAATGCGATCAACTTGCTTGATTTATTTGTCACGATGAAAGACGTCATTTATCCGTACGAGCTGAGAAAACGAAACATCAATTACATATCGATTATTCGTGTGAAACACGGAGAAAAAATTTGTCTGCTGCAGCTAATTTTTTCCCGTGAATTTATAAATAAGGAAAGTAAACACAAGGACAAAACGAAATAAATATTATATATATATACATATATATGTATGTATGTATGTAACAACAATATTAAATGTATATGCAAATTAAGGATTCCTGTTTACATGTTCTGACATCGATCTACAGGGGAATCAACGTCCCGATAATCGGTGTTCGGATAATTGACGTTGTATTGTATTACTTATTGCAGTTACTATTTAATTAAATTGATACTTTAACACGCAGAAAAGAAGGAAGAAAGAAAAAGAGGAGAGAAATAGAGGGAAGACAGAGAGAGAAAAGAGGGAGGAGAGAGGAGAGAAAGAGAAATGTATTGTATAGGTAATATCACGTCATATAAGCATTTCATATAATATTCGATACTTAATATTAATAGCCAATTAATGAGAAGTAATACATATTAATTGTAGCTATTAAATATTAATTACGCGAAATAAAAGTTATATATATCAGAATGGGCAAGCCTTACGATTTTACGCATGAATTGTTTTACGCATACTCGCCACCTTTTCGAGAGAAATAAAGGTGCGTGAGTATTTGAAAAATGTAAGTAACGCAAATAGAGAGGCAATCTAAACAACGATAAAATACAACAAACATATCGACTCACCACAAGTCGTCGCCGGCCATTACAAGCTCGCACCCTTGGATTCCTTCGCGACCGAAACCAGTCGATCCTACGAAGCAAGACGACAATTACACGCTGATTGATACCAAGACGATCACGCGTCGTTCGATTTGCAAGCGGGTATACCTGTTTGTACACAGGATTCGTGTTTGACTAGTTGAAAAGCGCGATAAACACGGGCAGTTTCGCGACACAACATAATCACTCGAGAACTAGCGCGAACTGCGATCCATTCGCATTTGAATAATCACGTGACGCCACGTACGGTTGTTCTCAACTTTAGGCTAACATTTCATTTGTCATATGACGAGCAGTGTCGGATATACTGATTGGCTGTAGTATTCCTAAGATTTCTAACATTTCTCCAAGCATTCTAGAAATATTCTATATGACAGCCAATCAGCGCATTCGACTAATTCGTCGTACGACAACTGAAATATTTGGTCTGGTCTGTTCTTTGTAACTGAACTGGCTGCACTAGCTTACACCTCGTATTCTCTTTCTCTCCTTGTCACATCAAGTTACAGCTATGTGTCTACTTCTGTTTAAGTTCCGAAAATGTGCACTAGTTCAGCTACAAAAAACAGATCTATTAACGTCACGCATGTAAACACGCGCGAATTGAACAAAAAATTTATTTTGACAAGTCATATACAATTATGTTGTTCATATTCCGATTACACAATTAAAATTAAATATGCCACGTTAATGCATCAAATGTTAATGTTAATGCCTAAAGTAACAAGATATTTTAGGGATCTTTTTCTAAATTTTCTATTATTAACTTTGCATTTTTTTTATCACGTTTATTCCCAACAATTTGTACCTCTCTTTTGTCAAAAGAAAACAGCATCCCCCCAGCTTATTAGGGGACTATATTTATATAACTAATATTCTATTTCTTATTTTACTCTAATTCGTTAACTTATCAATATTATGTATTACTAGTTAATATAATGCAAAATAATTTATTTTTCTGCAACGGAAAAAATTTCGATATGATGGAAAAAGCACGGTACGTTGAAAACGTTAAATGAGAGAGCAGTTTTGCTGACAAAGTTCGATACTTCTCGACTTCAAAGGGTAACTTTTACGACGCATCTTCCTAGCAAGTTTTTCTTAGTATTACCTTTTACAAGCCCTCTGAGCGTCGCTCGAGGTATTCGACATCCCTAATGGAGGGTGACACGCGCTGGCAGATATTTAATGGTCCAGCAGTTGCGCTTTTAAGAATCTATGCAAAACCATCTTTTCAACTCGAAGAAATATCGAATGAGGATTCAAAACATATTTTTTCTCAGTCTATTTTTATATTTTACCCAATTAATATTTTCAATATGATAAAATATATTTCACATTATAATTCTTAATTATAGCGATCATGTTCAACAAATATAAGAACGTGATACAGAATTTTTATTTCACACGAGACATTTTCTAAAGGATATTTCTTATTTCTTTTCCGACATAAATATTTTTTCTACATAATTTTTTTATTTTATCGACATTTTTTGTAACGTTAAAGTTCATACATTGATTTTGTGTTAGAAAAGTTGCATTCTATATTATCTACCGTAGAAATGCGAAAGACATTACCGTAGACATTTCCTTTATCTAGTTGCAATAATCTTACGCATTGTGCAATCCTATATTATAAATTATTATATTTTTAATGTTCATAATAATCATGCCACTTAACACGATTCGTGCATATAATATTTTTATCTGAAAAAATTAACATAGAAATATAAATAAATTAATAATTAATAATAATAATAATTTAATAATAATAATTCTTATGATGTCAACGTGAAATAAATATCGGCAAGCTCAAAAAAATATATCGATATTTATCTATAAGATTTATATCTAATAAATATTTTCATATTTATGAATTACTTCTCTCTTTCCTTGTATTATAAAAATCTATAAAATTAACTCATATTTGATTAAATCAAATGCCTCTAAAGTTTTTTTATTAGCTAAGTAAATCTCAGCCAATAACATAATAAATTCTGCGCTTGATAACAAATCACAAGTTTTAAGTAATGTAACAAAGTGAAATGCAAGTCTCCAAGCTTCTTCGTTCATTAAAGCAATCAATGTCTATTCCTATGTCAAATAAGATTCTACGTAGGACAACAAAGGAATCAGTTAGGACTAAAATGTTCAAAACAAGAATTAGGTAAGATGCGATAAAAAAAACGGGAGTACACACAAAGTCTATACACACCGTTTACTATTTATTTATCATATTAGTACTTTACAATACAGAAAATTATTAAATGTTTGTACCAACAAAATATTTTAAAAGATATTAACATTTTTTATATATACATTTTATATATTGTATGCAGAAAAAAAGTTAAAATACAAGTTTTATTAGAAAAAAATGAAAGTTTTACTAAATAACAAATAAAGTATAAAGTTTTAATTTTATATGGCATGTATACAACTGTAACTTCAATTTATGTAACTTTTGATATTTAAAATCTACAAAACAGTACTTTAATTGCATAAAAATATCATTAATTTCTTCTACATATGCATTAATAATAATAACTGAACTTAAATTTCTTCTTAAGATAAACCGAAATTATAGAAAGCTTCTTTGAATAACTAATAGTAAGATTTGAAAAATGGCAGTAAGGAGCAAGCACGGATGTCTTAATACTATTAGATATTAATATTACTTATTTAATATTAATATGATAGTGGGAGGATAATATATCCAGTAGGTTAAACGCACGTATCGAAATTTCTTCAATCATCGTACGCGGCGAATCAACCTTCTACACTTAGACTGATCCTTGAGTCCCAAATTTTTTATATTTATATTCCAAAAACCCCCATTAAACCAATGATTCAAATAGATTCCTTTTATATGTTGCGAAATTTCTTCCTTTCTTTGTATTATAGTTCTCTGATCGCATCACAAAATGTAATAAGATTATAGATTTTAATAAAGTAATATATAAAATACTATAACAGTACAATTAATATCATAATATAATCTATATTATTTAATATACTCTTCTAGTATTTTTCTCAATATCTTTTTCTCTATATTATATCTAGGATTTTTCTCATACTAGAATATTTTTCACCTGTTCGTTCTATTATATTTATTAAATGATTTTTATTTTTTATTTCTTTCGAAAACCTGTTGCAACAAGCACGAACAAACAAGATGTCATCTTGCATTGCTACGTATTTTACTAAAATATCAATAACACAATCATAAGCTTCATGTTCAAGTGCCTTTTTAAGTTTTTCTAAATCCGTGTAGAAATCCCATAGATGGTCTTGATTTCTATAGACAGACTGTGCTTCCGGCAAATTATCTGTAACAAATATACATATATAAATGCGTGTGCAAAAAAAAATATATATATATTATTGTAACGAACATTGTAACGAAAATGGACACATAATTTTCACGATATGCCAACAATTAAAATATAATAAGAAATAGAATAAGAAAAATAATTAAAATACAATAGAAAATAGAGTAAAAATAATTACCGATAGGATGTAGTATATAAGGTCTGGTACTTCTTACATTTACATGACGTTTTTTAATAATGGCCAGACTCCTATCAATAACAACGTTATTATAACTTCTTGGTGAATTCGTTTGTTTTGAATCAGGCGAAGCTATCGGATCCATTTCCATAAAACTCTCTTCAGAATCCTGAACTGATTCTACATTGTACGTATCTTGAGTTTTTTCACTCAACAAACTCTTAAAATACATCATTAAGTTTTTATCCAATTCTGACATTATGCCAGGATGAAGTTTATTTATTAACATATTGTTAATATCTCGAACATCAGATAATTTTTTATGCCATATACAATCCTGTAATATGTTTTCAACAATATGCTTGTGTGGTGTAAGTATTAATACCATGCTTCTTGCAATATACCAATATTCGCCAGGTTTCATAAACTGTTTTACACAATGGAATATTTCGTAGTATTTAGTTACATCGATTATAACGGATGAATTAATGGCTGCTACGATATGGTCCACAATATTTTTTAATGATATTTCTCTGCTTAATAATTCCTTGATGACATCGTAAGTAATATCTTTTGACAACTTATAAATGTCATAAAACTTTCTATATATTGTTAAAATGTCATCGATTGTTAATTTTTCTAAGGATTTTTTATATAATTCGTGACAGAAAAAGTAAAATTCCTTGTGTATAGCAAAGTTTATTGCATCTATTATCTTATTGGAATCTTCAGAATAAAATGTATTAATAAATTCCTGAAACTAAAAATAACATTATATTAAAACACGTAAGAGAGAGAGAGAGAGAGAGAGAGAGAGAGAGAGAGAGAGAGAGAGAGGGGAGAGAGGAGAGATAGGGGGGAGAGAGAGAGAGGAAAGCATAATTAATTTAAAAAATTTTTTAAATGTAAATATAATAAAAATTTAATAAATATATAAGTATACCTACATTGTGTTTATAAGTACATAAATATCGTGATTTACATGTGGAATGCATCAATATAGCAAAACAGAATCTATTGAAATAGTTTTTTATTTTGCAGTTTGATGTTAAATTTGTCGAACTTGCAGATAGACTATCCGTGTGCAAAGTTTGTTCTAATAATTTATTGTGTACCGTCTCCTTCGGTACAGGAACATTTTGATTTATCTTCGATAGAGTTTGTTTTGCTGTTAATAGCTCATTTTTATTACACATTTCTGGCAAACTTTCTATTTTTATTTTCTTTTTTTCAATTCTGTTTCCTGTACTATCCTGTACATTTTGTAACTTCTTTACATTGTCTTTCCTCGTTTCCTTGTTTTCTACTATGTCTTTTACACTAATCGCGCTATTTTTATTATTTATTTTCATTGACATTGTATCATTTATAGTTTCATCACTACTTCTTTTTAATTTGCAGACTTTCTCAGTTCTTTTTTTGTTTAACGTTATACGTAAATCTGTTTTAACACGTTTTACACTAATCGCGCTATTTTTATTATTTATTTTCATTGACATTGTATCATTTATAGTTTCATCACTATCAGTTCTTTTTAATTTGTAGACTTTCTCAGTTCTTTTTTTGTTTAACGTTACACGTAAATCTGTTTTAACACATTTTGCATTTTTAGTCGTCGTATTAATACTTAGGAAATCCTCAAATTGTTGCTTCACTAATGTATTATGTGATTCTACATTGCTTTGTTGACAATTCCTGTTTAATTTGATTCTTTTAGTACGTGTATTTACGTTTATACTATTTTCTTCTGCAGTACGTTTCCGACTTTCTAAATTACGATCGTATTTTGTACTTGCAATGGATGGCCCATCATTGAAAACCTCTATGGTCTTGCTATTATGATCAATAAAACTTAAATTTTTCTTATCCAAGCAATTTGTATCATCAGAACCCACTATAGCTGATTTTATGCTTGTACCTGTTTATATACACATCAATAAGTGGAAAAAACAAACATATCATGCATGCGTGTGTATTGCATCTGCACAATTGTAGTTTTAGTCCAGATTCAATATCAAGCATTGGCATTACATTGAATATGTTAAGAAGAATACAAAAAAGCATGAGATACAACAAAAGAAGGGCTTTGGCCAGCTGAATAATTGTGATGCAAACATATTTCATTAATACAAGAATTGATATTTGTTTTTTACAATGTGATAGTGAGATCACTTGTGCATCTTTAAATGTTCAATTCAACATGGATAATATATAAATTCATATAGATCATAGTTTTCAACATGGATGCAACAATATGTTTGATAAAAAAAAAAAAAAATACACACACACACACTAACACACACACACACA